GGAGGAGGAGGAGGAGGAGGAGGAGGAGGAAGAGGAGGAGGAGGAGGAGGAGGAGGAGGGGGTGGGCCGTGGGGCCACGGCGGCCGCGCGGGCGCGTTCTCTCCGCCACGGCACTGGGCCACCACGCTGTGCGAGCTGTGCCTCGGGCCCTCCCCACGAGGTGCTGCTCTCAGTGGGCCCTGGAAGCCTCGGGGGGGGGGGGGGGGGCAAAGAGGGGGGGGGCGACTACGGGCTAGGGGGGGGGGACATCATGGCGTGGGCCATGATGTTTCCCCAGCTTGCATGGCGCCTCTTCTTGTGTCCTTGCGTCCCTGGCCCCCCCAACCTGGGCCGCGCACGTGCCGCTGGCCATGATTTGCGCCCTCCCTCTTGGACGCCCCCCTCGTTGGCCGCCCCCGGACAGTGGCCGCGCGGGCGTTCCCCGCCACAGCACAGAGCCGCTACGCTTTGCAAGCTGCACGTCGGGCGGAGCGCGCCAGGGGAGGCGCTGGAGGCGCCGCTGGGGCGGGGCCCAGCGAGAATTCAGGAAATCCTCGCGCAGCGCCAGAATTTTATGTTTCTATGTTTTGTTCTTCTTCTAATCCTTGCGTTGCATTTTTTTCGCTACGGGCGTTGTCGCTCCACATGGAACCCCAGGGCCTCCACACTTTGATCTTGCTCGAGAGATGACGCAGAACGAGGAGGTCCAACGGTCCGCTCACATGTTTTTCGATGCTGCAATGTTTTGCAACGTCGGACATCAGGCAACGACGGGGCCGTTGTTTTACATGTTCCTTTGTGCCGTTATCTTGCCGGTTCCGACGCCGGTGTGTGGCCTGTTCCGTCGTTGTTTTTGTTCCTAGGTTCGGGCTCGGGCGCCAATCCCGAAGCCGTTTCTGTTGCCGTTCCAGGTCGCAGTTTTTGTTGCCGCTTCCATGTTCAAGAGACACTTGATTGGAAACGGTGAAAAGAAGAACCCTGGCGTTTTCCAGGGCCCACTGGGGCCTCGGGCTGTCCCCGCGGAGTATTGATTGAAAGTCCATCACGGCTCTGGCGCCTGGGGGCGGCCGCCCTTTGCGCGGGTGGGGTCCTGGAGGACTGGGCAAAGCGCCTCGAGAATGATGGCTCGTTAGTGTGCAGCAGCGCGCCTCCGTCGGACCGAAACCTGGATCTTCGATCAGTCTTCGCCATGCTGCAGGCTTGCATCATCAGAAGGCGTGGGCGCTTGGGGCATCATCCCACAGCCCTTTCGACATCGGTAGACGATCGTTGAGAGCTCAGTATTGAAATGTTATGTTATGGACGCTCCGCGGATCCAGACACGATGCGCAGGGCACTTGTTCGGAGGAGGGGCGTAGGCAAGCATGAACAATCGAGATCGTAGAAACACGTGCTAGCCTTTTGAATACCTCTTGGAGCCATCTTCGAGCATACAGTGGAGAACCATGCCAAGACACCCTGCTTGCCTCCTGGGTGCCCTGGGTTTCTTGGGATTCTATGGTTTTGCTCTGGACAGCGTGACGTTCTCACACGAAAAAATCGATGGACGTCCTGGGGTCTCAGGGTTGGGCTTTTTGTGGAAGGTTTCTTGTGGACTGGCCTCCACTGTAAAGTGGGGCCTTTTGATAGGCTTCAAGGCACCCTCTGGGGCCAGCGAGGAGCCTTGGGAACCCCCTCTGGGCCCTCTTGGGGCGCCCTTAGGCTCTCTTGGGGTCGTCTGGGAACCCGCCTGGTCCTTTCTTAGGCCTCAACTTGGCGATCTGAGAGCCATCTCGCGGGATCACAATCCCATCGGAAGCGAAACGACCAACGGGTACGACACATTAATTCCCCCGTGTCTTGGGCAAAGTTCACTTCGGGGGCGTCCTTTGGAGGCTCCAGGAGGCCTCCTGGGAGACCCTCGGCGCCACCACTGTCGCCTCGAAATTCTGGTCAGAACACACCCCGGGAGAGACCCGGGGGCAGTAGCAGCATTGGTACCTTTCGGCTTCCCCAGTTGAAGGAATTGCACATGGGACAGAATGCGTTCGGCGAGTCGACGACCACAGCGTTGCGGGCGGCGTGCGATGCGCCCGACGCCAAGGCGGTGGTCGATGTGCCGCATGCGCTGCAGGTCTGGCGCGCGGCGCGGGCTCAGTTTGCCTCCTCGCGCAGAGAGGTGACGGTGGAGGGGCGGAGAGAGGATAAGAAGGTTCGTGCTGTGAGTATTGATGGGGGGCGCACGGTCGCCCCCATCCGCCTCCGAAGCTTCATCGCCGTCCAGAGGATGGCCGCTTGCTGCCATCAGCGCAGCAGCACGCACTGCACCGCAATGTGTCGTCTTGAAGGCGGCAGGAGTGGTGCACCAGCCCCAGACGCAACGAGGGGACGCCGCCCTGCTCGGCACGGGCGCTCTCAGCGAACGACGAATAGGCAAACTCGACCAGCTCGCTCTGCGACTGTTTGCCCTCTCTCTCCATCTTTTTTTTTCCTCTCTCTCTCTCTCTTTCTCTGTCTTTCTCTCTCTCTCTCTCTCTTTTGTTCCTCTCTCTTTCTCTTTCTCTGTCTTTCTCTGTCTTTCTCTCTTTTTTCCTCTCTCTCTCTCTGTCGGTCTCTCTCGTTCGTGCGGCTCCGCCCCAGGCACCCAGCATGCGATCGAGGCGCCCTCGACCCGCCAGACCTGCCGCTCTGCCGCTCCTCCGTCCCTTCTGCTCTCAGGGGCGTAAATAGGGTCTTATATGCGAACCCTACCCCTACCCCCCACGATTTCTGAGGGGGAGGGTGGGGTTCACTTCGCTTGGGAGCTCCCGAACAAAGTGAACCCCACCCTCCCCCTCAGAAATCGTGGGGGATAGGGGTAGGGTTCGCATGTGGCCCCCTAGTAAAAATCGGAGGTGGATAGACCCCCTACCCTGGCACGTCGATTAAGGAATTGGCAGTCTTCGGTTCGCGAGAGGGCGTCGCGGCCGTTATTCTTGCGGGTCTAGGTCCGTCGGCTTCGGTCCTAGGCCCTCTTCCCTAAAGGGAGGTTTACTCAAGGGAGGTTTGTCCACCGCCGACAAGGAAACGCCCCTACCCTGGTTTACGGGGCGCTGTGCGCTGAACCTCCTGTGGGCTGACAGGGTGCACCCTGCATGTCGCGCGTGCCGCGCGGCGTCCTGGCGGCTCTCTGGCCTTTGGGACCTCCCAGGAGGTTTGCGGACTGCGCACTTGCAGCCCAGGGTAGGGGCGTTGTTGCATCCCTTTCTGCTCCGCGCTTCCGACTGGCTCCTTTACGTTGCATCTTCGGCGGGCTTGTCATGTCTCCCAAATTGATGCCTTTTCTTGTGTCCAACGCGGGCTCGATGTGGATTCGATGCGTATTTAACGTGGATTCGACGCGGATTCGACACGGATTCGACACGGATCCGACGAGTCCGACATGGATTCGACACGGATTCGATGCGCATTGGGCCGCGACGGGACAGACAATGTCCCCCGAGGGTGCAACAGAAGTTCCTCTCTCGGGTCGGTCGCGGCCAGGCGGCTCCGACGTGAAGCAGCCAGCCCCGGGTCAGCGCCCCGACCTGGTGCGCCTTCCAGCCCAGCGCAGCAGCTCTCTCGCGCTCTCTCTTGCTCTGTTTGTTGCTCGCTTTTTTCCAACTGTCCTGCCGTGGTGGGTCCTCGCTTTGAAGAGAGCGCCCCGCGTCTCCTCCTCCTCCTCTCCTCTCCTCTCCTCTCCTCTCCTCTCCTCTCCTCTCCTCCTCCTCCTCCCTCCTCCCATCCGTCTCGTCACCTCCCTGCGTTTCACCCACCCTTTACAGCGATTCGTGGCCCCATAGAGAGCTCCACCAAAGGCTCCAGTGGCACAGGCCGCATGCGTCAACGCCACCCAGGACACCCTCTCGTGGCCCCACAGGGAGCTCCACCGAAACCAGTACCCACCACGCGGTACTCGCAACTGCATATGGTTGGGACCTTCGTCACACTAATGTGTTGTTTTTTGTTTGTTTTCTTTGTCTTTTTGTTGTTTCTCTCTCTCTCTCGAATGTTATGTTTGTTTATATACATATATATATATATATATATATCGTCGGCTGGGGAAGGCTTCCAGTAATCGGGCCTCGTGGTGCCCCACTCGTGAGCGCCTGTGCCCCGCTCGTGGTGGTGAAGTCGCGCGGTGCTACGACTCGGATGTGCCCCGCCATTCTCTCCCGTGGTCGGGAGGGGGCATTGGAAGCAGCTTCCGTGCAGGAGGGCGTTTCCTTTCAGGGGTTATGATGTTCTAACCTACTTCAGCCTTGACCACCAGAAATAATCCCGAGCACTAATAACGTACCGCACGTGTCGGGCCCTGGGAGACACTCGTCCGACACTGTTTTGATACTGATTCAACACTTCTGGGTGCTCGAAACTATTTCTGGGATGTGGTCCTTCAGTACGATGGGAGCAACATAATTCAGGGGTACTGACAGTCTCTTTCGAGATCCGCGCTCTACGTCGTAATTTGACCAGCTTTTCTGACCTCATACAGTGGAGAACCATGCCAAGAGACACCCTGCTTGCCTCCAGGGTGCACCGGGTTTCTTGGGTCTCGGTGGTTTTGCTATGGAAAGCGTGATGTCCCTACACAGAAGATCAATGGACGTCCTGGGGTCCCGGGATTGGGTTTCTTGCGAAGGGTTTCTTGTGGTCGGACCCCTACTGTAAGTTGAGCCTGCCCACGTCCATGCTAATCAACGTCTGTTCCCTAGGCAAAATCTGTGTGTCCTGCGCGTTCAGGTGGAGATGTGATGAGGACAGCCTGCTCGCCCTAGACGTTAGCCCCCGCGATGGCGTTCTTTGTTAGTCGTTGTGCGTGTCGTCATTTCCATGCTCAGTGTTGCATGTAGACATTTGTCGGACCGCCGGACGAGAATCCGCCTACGGACCCGTGCACTGAGCGCATACAGGCTGTGTCATTTTTAGTGGGCAGGTTTCCTTCCACTCACTCCAGCATTGGTCGGTGTCCTCTAGGCTAGTCATCCCCAGCCATCTCTAGACAGGCAGGTTTTTTGGGCCTGGCCGCCTCCACTGGTTTGGATCCTCCTGGTTTCCCTGTTCTGGCTGCCCCGCAGCCCCACCAGGCAGCTGTGGAAGAGAGCGCTTCGCTCAGAATGCGCCTCAAGCCGTAGGAAGTGGAAGCCTGTGTCGCCATCGGAGAACACCAAGGTGAGTTGCTAGAGGGCGTCCCCAACACTCCTTCCGTTCTCTCCGTAGTCATTTTGGCTCAAGCCAGGTGGCACATGCTCACGGAAGCTTGCCCGCTGACTTCCCAGTCTCGTGCGCGCGCGGTCTGGCCCGATGTCACGCGCCTCGAGCGTCGCGAGCAGCCAGGAGGACCGCGAGCCGGGCCAGGAGCCTGCGAACGCGAAGGCCGCCGCGGCGGTCGCATGGCTCGCGAGCGAGCTCAGGGCCGAGAGAAGCGAGACGGAGAGGCGCCACAACGCCTTGGTCGAGGGCCTCGTCGCGGCCCTCGAGCTGGGCGCACGTGCCCCCCGCGTCCAGGCGCAGGTATCTTCCGTGCCCACTCCCGGATTAGACGGGTACCCCTCGCAGAACGGGTACCCCTCGCAGAACGGGGCCGCGTTCGGAGGGCTGCCGAGGACGGCCACGGGGTTAGTCTCTGGCTGGCGCCCGCCAAATAAATCTGTAAGGAATCAGAAGGACCGCATGTTCGCCAACAGGATGATGAATCAGGATGGCTCGCCAGCACCCAGCCTGACACAGGTTGAGGGCACCGACAGGCCGAGGGAGGTGAGGACCACTGCCGAGCTTACCGACCTCGCCATACAGGATCGAGGCCTGGACTTGATAGGCTCCGCGCTGTCGCTGCACTCGAACGTCTCGTCGGCAGGGCACATTCGGTTTCGGCACCTGCCGCTCCTACAGCGCATGTGCCGCCGTGTCATCCTGAACCCGTGGTTCGACTACCTGATGTCTGTCATCATCGTCATAAATTGTGTGGTGATCGGGATGGAGATCCAGGAGAGCGTCGACAGGACGATCCCGACCACTCTGGCGTACCAGGTGATGGAGAATTGTTTTCTGGTGGCCTATGTCCTCGAGCTTTTGCTTCGCTTGCTGGCTGACTGGCAGGAGTGCCTCCAGAATTCGTGGTTCCAGATGGACGCCGTCCTCATCGCGCTTGGCGTGCTGACGATATGGGTGTTGGAGCCGCTGCTGCTAATGAGGAGTGCCATCGGCATGCTGGACAAAGTGCTGGTTGTCAGAATTCTGCGCCTGCTTCGCCTGGTGCGGACCCTCCGCTTCCTGAAGTTCATGCAGCCACTCTGGAGGCTGGTGAAGGGCCTGCTGGGATCAAACGGATCTGTGACGGCGGCTGGGGTGTTGCTCTTCGGAGCTATCTACGTGTTCGCGTGCGCTGGGGTGGCGGTCATCGGCGTGGACGAAGAGCTGCTCGCCGACCCCGTCGTTGGGCACATCGTGGAGGATCGCTTCAGGTCGATCCCGGAGCTGATGCTCACGCTTCTGGAGTTCGTATTCTGCGACGGGGCTTCTCAGATCTACCATCCTCTGCTTCGCACGAAGCCATTGCTGCTCTTCTACTTTTTGCCGATTATGCTCGTGGTGCCGATCGCCCTTGTGAACTTAATCACGGCCGTAATTGTGAATCATGCAATCAAGGTCTCTTGCCACGACGCAGAGCTGGCGCGCGTTCAGCTCCGGGGAAGGCTGTAGGCGCTGATACCGATCCTGAACAGCCTCTTCAGGCAGTTCGACTCAGAAGGCCAAGGGTACATCCGCTGGGCAGACCTAGACTTGGCGAGGATGGGCGCGCCGCAGATGCCCTTGCCCGCCGAGGTGCTACATGCGCTGAAGTCCTACAAACTGGAAGACTTCTTCAAGCTCCTCGATGCTGATGGATCTGGAATGATAACCCAGACTGAGTGGGTCGACGGTATGTGCTGCCTGGTCTTGGAAGAAATGCCAATCGAGAATTTGCAGGTGCTCCACATGCTCTACCGGCAGGCCAACGATCTGGAGGAACTGAAGAGCGCCCTGCTGCCGCGCTGTCCAGTGCCTGAATCGAGACGGTCCGATTACAACGCCTGATCCGACCGGGGGCTCTGGCCTCCCGTTCGCCTGACGGGAGGCGGGGAGGCCAATTCTACTGTACCATATTTTGCCTTCGGTTTCGTCGCGCTGTTGGGCGAGCCGCCTTCAAGTCATTCGCACTCCAAGCAGAAGTTTGCCCAGTTCACGAGAGAAAAAAAAACACTCCTTCCGTTCTCTCCTCGAGGCGACGGCAAAGCAGGCTGGCCCCAGAGACCCGCTTCGAGCGGCTCATTGACCTTCGTTGGCAGTGCTGAGCACCTGTGGCGTAAACTCAAGTCGGGCATGTCCCTCTACAGGAGGGATGTTCAAACATAGTAAAACGTAGTCTGGGGATTATTTTCTATTATTTTTAGAGTATGTTTCAATATGTTTGAGTTATTGTTGTATGGTTCGTCCAAGATCCGCCTGTATGGGGGACATGCCCGACCTCAGCATAGGGGGGGGGCAAGGACATCGGCCAGAGGGGATGCAATGGCCAGCCTGTGTGCCCAGTTAGGGAGGTACATCGGCCGGGATCCTCCTCCTTCTCCTCCTCCTCCTCCTCCTCCGCCTCCTCCTCCTCCTCCTCCTCCTCCCCCTCCCCCTCCCCCATCCTCCTCCTCCTCCTCCTCCTCCTCCTCTTCCTCCTCCTCCTCCTCAGGGATCGGCTGAAACATGCCCGCCGTCGTCGGGAGAGTCCTCCTGGGAGGCTCCCCGCGGAGTGCCCGGCAGGTGGCCTCACTGAGGCCCCTGGGGGCAGGACATCTGGGCGATTACTCCAGATTTCGTAATAAAAGGGAGGGGGTCTGGACCCTCCAAGACAAGCCATTTCAAACCCCCCCCCGTGGGAGAACCCTCCAGAACATCGTCCCCAGACCCCCCCAGACCCTCCAAGATGGCCTGGAAGAGACCCCCCCCCGAAATGAGACCCCCCTCCCTTTATTACGAAATCTGGAGTATGTTTGATCCAATTGCAGGAAAGACCCCTGCTCCCAAATGTTTCTAGCCCTCCTAACTTCGGCCCTTTCCCAAAAGGTTCGGGGTCCTGGTATTGCTCATCCTCCTTCCCTCCATCCTCCCGACTATTGGTCAGGGCTTACGGCCGGTGCCGCCGCCCCTGGACGACGACCACCACGATAGAATAGGCATTCGGGAAGGTCGGGAGCAGAGGCTCCCAAGGAGTGCCCAAGAGGCTACACGAGGCCGCCAAGAGGTGCCCAAGAGCCCCCGCGAAGTTTTGGGGGTGTATTGGGAGCAGTTCGGGAGCCTCCTGTAGCTTCCTGGCGGTTCCTCCGGGTTCCCAGGGGGGGCGGTATTCTGACCTGGGACCACCCCGCGGGACCCCCCCCCCTACCACCCCCTGGACCCCCCATCTCGGCGGGGAAGGGATCCTACGGAATGGACTTCCCTTCGACTCAACTGCGACGTTGCTCCATATCATCTAGGCTGTTTCCTTTTGGCTGGCGCGCTTGAAGAGGAGGGCCCAGGGAAACGGGGGGAGCGGCGAAGACGACGACGACGAATCAGATGAAACAGCCTCTCGCACACGCCGACAGGGTCGGTGCATGTCCCTCCTGTGTACGAGTTCTCAACCTCAGTTTTACCGTACTACTTCGACGGATAATTTTCGGCTTCGTACATTCGCCACTCCAGCGCACATGCTGTTGTTCCCACTCTGGCGATCAAGATGTGTGGTAATCGTTTTGCCGATTGGCGCGGGCCCTCGCACCCCTCCCTTCCCCGCCCCCATGAAGTGAATATTGGGTGTTTTTTGGCGCCTGTTTCGAGCGGGTTGAGTTTCCCCCAGAGGCAGCACTCTTGCAAACAGTCGCACTAAGCAGAGGTCCGGAGCCCCCCCCTCCTCCCCCCCCTTCAGCCCACTGTCGAAACGCCGAATGAGAAAACGCTGACAAGATGTGTGTGTGTGTGTGTCACCGTTCCGTAGCCCGTTTGGCTCAAGGACTTTTTTTAACATAAGCCGCCTCACAGGCGGCGGCCGCCTGCGCCCACGGCGATGAGCACCATGGCGGCCGGCGGCGCCGCGGCCTTCGTTAGCGCCGCGGCGCCCTCGCTCGCTCCGCACGCCGCCCCGCCGCACAGGGCCGCGGGCGCCGCCGCGGGCGAGGGCAGGGCCGCGGCAGGCGGCCAGACCCTCGCCGGCGCGCTGGGTGCCAGCACAGCTCGGAGGAGAACAAGCACGCCGTGAGCAGAAACTGTTGGCGCTCCGCGCGGGCCTCATGGGCCCGCGCTGGGCTCCCCCCCAGGCGGTGCCTCCGGCGCCGCCTCTGGCGCGCTCCGCCCCGAATCATCGGGGGTCAACTCGGGTCTGGGCTCACTCGGGGTCGTTGCTCGGGAGTCCGAACCCAAGTTGCCCCGGGCCCGAGCTGCCCTGGATAATTCGGGCGTCCAGAGCCCCAAATCATCAGGTGTAACTCGGGTCAGGGCTAACTCGGGTTTTTTTCTTGGGAATCCAAATCGGGCACCCAAAGGGGTTCCAGCGCAGATCCAAGAAATCTGCTCGGAGCGCCAAAAGTTCATGTTTGTGGAGTTTTTTTCTTCTTCCAACAGCGGCTGTTGCGGCCGCCACGGCCGCGGCAGCGTCCACGGGCCGCCGCGGGCGGTGGCGGCCGCCCCCGATGCGCGCTGAGGCGACGGCGTCCACCTCGCCCGGCGGCCAGCAGGGCGGGGATCCGGCGATGTCGAGGGCGTTGCCGTGGATGAATGTGCCCAGCCACCTGACGGGTGACCCTCTGAACAGGGACTTCCCGGGCGACCTTGGCTTCGACCCGCTCGGGTTCTCTTCAGACGGCTTCATCTCGGGGGCGGAAAAGAGGGGGGTGATGACTAGGGGGGGGTGGATATCATGGCGTGGGCCATGATATTTCCCCAGATCTCATGGCGCCTCTTCTTATTTCATTACGTCCCTGGCCCCCCTCTGGGCCGCGCACATGCCGCCGGTCATGATTTGCACCCCCCCCTCTTGGACACCCCCCTTCTGGCCGCTCCCGATCATCAGCCAGGTCTCCCAGAGTCTCGGAGGCGGCTTCAACGTCAAGCGGTGGTACCGCGAGGCGGAGCTCATGCACGGCCGTGCGGCCATGCTCGCGACCTTCAACGTCGTCATCAGGGAGACGCCGTTCACCGGCTTCATTTGGCGGCGAGCGAGGGGGGGAAGTGAGAAGGAGAAGGCCTTCTCAGAAGGCGGCGGGACTTCTCAGAAGCCCTCACGCCTTCTGAGAAGTTTTTTGTGTCTTCAGGGAAGGCTTGGAAAATTTCTCAGAAGGCTGGGGAACTTCCGTGCCTTCCGAGAAGCCCCGCCCCTTCTCACTTCCCCCCCTCGCTCGCCGCCAATTCATGCCAGAAACTCAGGTGGAGCGAAACGCTCTTGTGAATTTGATCCAGTTCATGACCATACTCGAGGGCGTCAGGGGCTGGCGCCTCCTAGTGGACGAGGAGAGGATAGCGGGCGACCTGGATATCGGCAGTGGGTTGGACGGGAAGGGTGGCGAATTGGCTGAGAAAACCTACAAGGAGCTCCAGAATGGCCGGCTGGCGATGCTGGCCTTCGTTGGCATCTCGGCCCAGTGGTCGGTGACGGGCCGCGCCGTAGGCATCGACGTAAGCAGCGTCGTCGACTATTTGTACGCGCCGCCTGTGAACGACCAGCTCATCAGGAGCGTCGTCCTCAGCGTCGCTGGCCTGGCCATGTTGGTGGACGGCGTCAGAAGGCTCTCCTCGAGCGACAAGGGCAGTTCCGCTAGGGGGCCACGTGCGAATCCTATTCCTACCCCCCACGATTTCTGAGGGTGAGGGTGGGGTTCACTTCGCTCAGGAGCTCCACAGCGAAGTGAACCCCACCCTCCCCCTCAGGAATCGTGGGTGGTAGGGGTAGGGTTCGCACGTGGCCCCCTATCCGCATCCAGTTCGATCGCCGCCAAGGCAATCAACCCCATGAAGATCGCAACCGGCGTCCAGGACCCCAGAGTGCCGCTGCCCGCGGGCGTGGTGGCTGGACAGCCGCCGCAGACGCTCCACATATCCGAGCAGCAGGTCGCGCAGTTCGAGGAAGACGGGGTGATTATGGTGAAGGGCGGGCTCAAGGAGTGGGTTCCCTACCTGCAAGCCATCACCGATCACCAGATTGAGAACCCTCACGTCTGGTCGTTGGTCGGACGCATCAGCGGGTTATACGACTACATTCAGCGAAACATGTGGATGACGAACGACGGTTTCCGAGATTTCCTATATCATTCGCCGCTGGGCCACGTTCTCTCCCAGCTGGGGCGCACGAAGGAGGTGCGCTGTACCACCGACATGCTGCTCGTGAACCCCAACAAGGGCTTCGGCTGGCACCAGGATAATCAGAACGGCCCCATCGACTTCCCCTACGCCCTGCGCTGGTGGGTCGCGATGGACCGGTGCGGACAGAACGATTTCGGTGCACCAGAGTATCTCCTCGGCTCTCACAAGAACATATCCGTGGACGACAAGGCAGTGTTCGTGAACATCGAGGACGGTGACCTCCCTCACTTCACCAGGAAGACCAAGTTCATCCCCGAGCCAGGTGATCTGATCATCTGGGACGCCCGTACAATCCACCGGATCGTATCGCCTCCAGGCCAGTGCTGGCAGGAGGGGACGCAGCGCCGTGCCTTGGGCGGCACGGTGGCCAAAGACGGCGCGATCTATTTGAACAAGGGCGGCGCCAGTGGCATCAGCGACCTCGCAGGCCACAATCTGACCAACGGGGAGAAGTTGGCCAGCCCGTACTTCCCCCGCATTTACCCGACGCGGGACCCCGAAGAGGAGGCGGTACGGTCCAGGAGGGAGATCATCGGGCGATCCCCGAAGAAGATCGCGGAGCTTGCTGTGACTTTGCTGTCCAACGCTGGGAAGTACGTGTCCTTTACGAAGGTCGTCGGCAAGAAGCAGTGAATCGTGACCAGCTCTGACGCAGACACCAGCTGCCCTCCAGCATCAATGGAGGGCCACGCGGCTGGCTGATCACACTTTGAAGTAGTCTTGGTGCATCGTGTAGTAGTCTTGATGCATCGTGTTGCGGCCCTAGTGATATTTTTCAACTGGGATGTTCCTGATCCTGTGCGCGCCCCCTGTCCTCCTGCCGAGACGAGCCGGAGAGCACATATGTGTCGCCAGGGAGAAAATGAAGCATCGG